TAGGTCCCTTCCGACCCTAAATCTATGAAACTATGTAGATATATATAATTTTGTTCCCATTTGGTCCAAGTCTGATTTCCACAGTACAGGTGGGTGGAGTGTATGCCATGAACGTTTATACAAATCCTAAAGGGGAATGTTGGAAAGATTTTGGATCACATGTACTGTACATGTCCCTCCTTCCTTCCCCACTGCACTTGAGAGGCCCAGTTACAGTGGGTGCAAGTAACCACATCAGATTGTCCTTGCAGCACACCTAAGTGTTCCTTGGTGGTTGATTATGGAGCAGCAGCAGAATCCCTCCTCCTTCATTGCCTCTTCTTTTCCCTCTTCACGTCCCTCCAACTTGCATCTTTCACATCTTGCTTTGTCCCCTTCATTACCTGTAGTCCTGGGTTTATTAGGGGCTTGGATTATTTTTTCTCTAGGACAAAAGCCAAACTCCCTCTTTCCTCCCTCCCAACCCTGAACTGACTTAAATTTTCACTGAATCAAATGGTTACCTAGGTCATTTCCTATTCTGGGTCAAAAACGTTGAAAACATTTAACTTGGACTCAAAGCAGTAAAAGTAAATGGAACATCTTTGAATGTTTTCAAGGCACTTTGAGTTTTTTGTTCCAATACCCATACATCTCATATGGTCAATAGTTGAGCCTACTAGTTATGCTCACTCAGCACTGTGTTTTGTTCTCCCATTAAACATAGCGGGCCCCTTTATGAACAACCTACTGCAGCCTAGCTAATAAAAGCAGGGAGGAGGTTAGCTCAGAGTCTAAAGGCTCATGGTTTTGCAACCAGTGGTTCCAGGTTCCTGCTGCTGAGCCTTTACAGATACAGCATTGCAAATGTGTTTCTCTGATTCTGCTTCAGAACAAATTTGAGTTTGGACATTGATCCAAAAATATTTAAAGTGGCTGGCAATTTCCATGCCCTTAAAGTATCACTCAAGCAAAGTCGTAGAGTTTGAAAAGGAAGTCCTTTTGGTCAAAGGGTCTGAATTACTCCAGCAGGCACCAATCTTGGGTATTGGTACAGATTGTTACAGAGAGGTTTGTTACAGAGGTGGCAGCAGGGTGATGGATCTAGATGTGAAGTCCTTTTACTTTATTCTTTGGAGGTATCCAGTGCTGTCAATCCACAGCACAAGGACACTGGAGAAGGAAGAGGTGGCTGAGTACTGTGGTCAGGACTGGGAGCATGGCTAGTAGTATAGACCTTGGAAATTTAGTGATAATTTGCTCCCCACAGGCAGATGGAAGACATTAGAGCTGCCGCCGCCTTTCCCTGCTGGGATGAGATGGTGTAGCTGAGGTGACAGTAACAGAGCTATCCATTCCCTGCTGAGCTTGCTGAACTACTCAGTGAGACAGACTGGATGGGGGGTGAAGCAGGAACAGGCCTTTCCTTTAGCCTTAAGGCCTTCTGTTATTCCTTAGTTTTAGGAATTTTCTGCCTAACTGGTGTAGGGGCACTAGCATCCACAAATGTCTCAAGTGGGAAGGAGAAACGGAAGGAATATTGTCCATTGAAAGTCAAATGAAGCTCTGAGACACAGCTGGGAATTAGACAAATGCATTACTGTGCCCAACTGTTAGTCAGAAAATTGAGACAAAGGTTGGTATTTTCCTCAGAACTGTACACCCCTAGGCAGGTCTGGCTGATCTGTCTGCTACTGGGGATACAAACAAAGGGAGGCAGGAAACTTTTGCCGCTGCTGCCCATGACTGTCAAGTCTGGTTCTACTATTAGATCTGTGGTCTATTAAAGAAAAAAAAAAGGAAACTAGGTAATCACAGATCATTTTTCTTATTTTCTGGAGGCTCACAATCTAGTAGTTTGTTTTAATTCATTAGTATACAGCTGACCCTGAACACTGTTGTACTGTTCAAGTAAACACTGTTTAGTCTGATGCATTTGTAGGCTGAATCTTATCAAATGCAGAGCTTGTTCAAGATAAACAGAATAATTTTGATGGCTAAAAGCATTGAATATTATGCTATTTGATTTATTTAAGAAAATGAGCAACAGTTGCAGAAAAGCTTACATTAGTATTGTGGATATGTTACCAATAAATAATTAATTTCCTCTGTCATATAGTTGGGATCTTGTTTATACTTGTAATTATCAGATGAAAACTAGTAACTTGGAGCAGATTTGGCTATAAGGTTCTACTAGAAAAATTGCAACTTAGAAATTAGTACTGTCAACATTTGAGTATAATTATGCTGTCCAATTAATTATAATTTTGCTAGGAGTGACTTCAACCTCATCTCTGCAAGGAATACTTTTATCAGTTTAGGGCTGAAATCTGACTTTAAAAAATGATTTGCTGAAGATGTCTTAAATTTTTAAATATTTGAAATTTCAGAGTTGATCCACCTGTGTTCTTAAGGATCTTACTCAAGAAGTACGTTTGCTGGTTGCTACTGTGCTATGCATAATTCCACGCACAGTCTTGGTAACATCAACTGTATTGTCACATATTCAGATAGATAAACAAAAGGCAGTTATTGACTTCTGCAACACTAGCTAAAGAAGGGACAAATTATGCTTTGTATATTCAAGTAATGAATCCCTTTGATTTAAAGATTGCTTAAGTGATTAAAGGAGATGGGATGTGTTTATAAAATCCTCTTCTGAAGTTTTGAGTGACTTGTTTTTTTTTTCTAAATATTCATAAACATTTCACCTGTAATTTTAATTACTCAATTTTTATTCGTCTTTAGAAAAAAAGATGATGAATGGCAGTAGCCCAGCATCCATAATGAATAAACCTATGTTAATGAATCAATGTGCCCGAACAGAAGTGGGAGAAAAAAACATTTGGTAAGAAACCTATCTTTCATTTTTAATTTTCCAAGAAGTTAATGAAATATAACAACGAGAGAGAATTAAAAAAAATTAAAAAAATTAACCTTGATTCTGTCCTTTTTCTTCATGTTCTAGTAGTAGAACATGGAAAGGGGGGAGAAGTTTTTGGTTTTGTTCTCTTATTCTACAGTAGCTGACCTTGGCACTAGATGGTTTGGAGATCTGGTAATGGGGAATAGTAGGTAATATCTTGGTCCTACTGAAATTAGCGGTAAAACGATTGACTTCAACAGCTCCATAATTTCATTCATGGCGTTTTTTAGTTTTGTCATAAACTATAAATCCTATCTACACTATGGATGATGGATAACTGAGCAACTGCCCAGGTGACGGGAATTCTATGGAAGAAGTAGTTTGTGGTCTTCCTCTAATGTCAGATGTTCAGAAAGAGGAAATAAAATAATTAAAGTCAACATTTTCCTAGAATTCCCATTGGTAACTGCTATTCTATATATAGGGGAAATTATGATACTCTTAGATAAATATTAGCAAATACTACTGCTGGAAGGATGACTAAGATTGCTGACAGAGGCTCAATGGGATTCAATGCGTGATCTACACCAGTGGTTCTCAACCTTTTTGTACCAGGACCCATTTGT